AAAAAAAAAAAAAAAAAAACCAACAACAACAACAACAACAACAGGCCCCCGAGAGAGAGAGAGAGGGAGAGAGAGAGAGAGAGAGAGAGAGAGAGAGAGAGAAGAGAGAACAAAGGGTCCCCTTCAGGTCAATTCGAGGTAATTCGAGGGCCCCTGCAGGTACCTCGAATGACTCCTATGTTACATGTGGAGTCATCGAGGACCACTGCTTCAATTAGGAGGATGTTCTCGTTATCTATGGAAGAGGTAGCCAATATATGCTTTGGATTCGAGTTCAAGGCTGTAGCTCGGCAGTTACGGGTCACCAATTCAGCTAGAGCCTGTTCGCGTCTCCACATGATTCTCAGGGCCTCCCTCCACCACTCATCAAATGTATACAATATTAGTAGAATGAATCTTCTGCTAAAACATGGAACCATACACCGCCATATGCTGTCTTTTGTGCATGTGGTGAGTAGTGGAGCAGGCCCCACTGTACGTATTCATAAGAAAACAAAAACAAAAAACCGAGAGCTCCCTCCACTACTCACCAAATGTATACAGTAATAATATAAGTAGAATGAATCTTCTGCTAAAACATGGGAACATACACTGCCATATGCTATTTCTTTTGTGCACGAGGTGGCTAGTGGAGCAGGCCCCACCGTACGTCTTCATAAGAAAACAAAAACAAAAAACCGAGAGAGCTACGGGCATCTTCATCCTAACCCATAACCGCCGACACACAGACCTGAACGCCAACCTTCAGAATCATACTTGCGGCGCATCGACATGCGCTGCACCCCGCACATGTGCCGCACTGCGCACGACCCGCGCGCACGGGGTGCGGCGCACCCCGAAAATAGGGGGTCGACCAAAAAAAAAAAGTTGCCGAGGGGTATTCTAGGCCCAGCTGGGATGTCGCACCACGAAAAAAAAAAACAACAACAACATTTTGAGGCCGCACGGGGCCTCTGAAAAAAAAAAAGGGGGGGGCAGGTAAAGTAAGTTTGTTTTGAAGTTTTGAATTAGGAATGCTGCCCCTCGCTGCCTGGATGAACCCCGGTAGTCCAGCTTTGTGCCCTTCGCGCCCGCCATGCGTTGCCCGTCGCATGGTTGCCTCCACGTCTCCTGTGCAGCAGCAGCAGTCCAGGGCGTCGTCGTCCAGCCATAGCCAGGGCACAACAGTCATCGTGAAGGAGCCTTAGAAGCAGAGGGAGGAGCGCGGCGTCAGCTCGTGAAGTTGCCAGGTGGGTAACCACCAGTCCCTCTCTCTCTCTCTCTCTCTCTCTCTCTCTCCCTCCCTCTACCAGCCATCTCTCTCTCTCTCTCTCTCTCACACACACACACACACACACACACACACACACACACAAATGTGGCGGTGTATATTTCCATGTTGTAGCTGTAGATTCATTCGATTTTGCTCATCCTGTCGATGGAAGTACCAGGAGGCCGCCTTCGGCTTTTCTCCCGCCATCTCCCACCTACGGCATTTCTCCCACCATCCCACCTTCTGCTTTTCTCCTGCCATCTCCCACCTTCTCTCTCTCTCTCTCTCTCTCTCTCTCACACACACACACACACACACACACACATACACACACACACACACACCCACACACACACACACAAATGTGGCAGAGTATATTTCCATGTTGTAGTGGTAGATTCATTCGATTTTTTTCATCCTGTCGATGGAAGTACCAGGAGGCCAGCTGCGAGGTTGGAGACTTAGCTGCTCTCTCTCTCTCTCTCTCTCTCTCTCTCTCTCTCTCTCTCTCTATCTCTCGACTTCTTCCGCCGCTTCCCACCATCCCGCCTTCGCCTTTTGTCCCGCCACCTCCCACCATCCCGCCTTCGCCTTTTCTCCCACCTCCGGCCTTCCTCCAATCTCTCGCCATCATCTTCCGACCATCTCTACCTCTCTCTCTCTCTCTCTCTCTCTCTTTTTTTCTCTCGTTTTTTATTTTTATTTTTTTATTTTATATGGTCCATATCTCGATTGAAGTGTGTCATCCTTGTGCAGCGGCCTTGTTAATCTTCTCTGTATCGGTCCAACTTCAAAGGATCTCTCTCTCTCTCTCTCTCTCTCCCTCCCGCCCGACTTCTTCCGCCGCTTGTTACCATCCCGTCTTCGGCTTTTCTCCCGCCATCTCCCACCTTCGGCTTTTCTCCCACCATCCCGCCTTCCGCTTTTCTCGCACCATCATGCCTTCTTTTTTTCTCCCGACTTCCTCCGCTTCCCACCATCCCACATCCGACCTTCCTCCAATCTCTCGCCAATGAGTCGCCATCATCTTCCCACCATCTCTACTTCTCTCTCTCTCTCTCTCTCTCTCTCACACACACACACACACACACACACACACACACACACACACACACACACACATCTTCCTCCTCACAC